GGCCTTTTGAAGTGATGCGTTTGTCTGAGAAAAATATCCATAATTAAAACTTTATAAACTGTAATCTCTAGCTTCCACTAACTGTCGTATGAGCGTTCATGAGAGTCGCGTTTCAGTGAATGATGTAGGACGTAGCGTAAGCGCTGATGAGAAGGGACAAATGCAGAGGAGAGAGCAAAACAAAACACTGGTCATGAATTCGAAGTACAAAACGAGGATTTGTACAGAAAATGTCAGAGGATTTTGATAAGCCTAGAGGAGACTGGTTTTCCTTTGCTGTTCTTGTGAGACTAGCATTTTCTTACCGTAACTCTCTCATGAATGCTCGTATGACAGTTAGCGGTTTTAAATATGGATATTTTTCTTGCACAAACGCATCGCTTTGGTTCAGAAGGCCGTTATTAACCCCTCGGAGCCGTGTGGAGCACTTTTTATGATGGATAGATGCACTTTTTTGGCCTTAAAAATCTCAGCCTCCATTCACTGCCATTATAAAGCTTGGAAGAGCCACAACATTTTTAATATAACTCTGATTGCATTCGTCTGAAAGAAGAAAGTCTTATACACCTAGGATGGCTTGAGGGTGAGTAAATCATGGGATAATTTTCATTTTTGGGTGAACTATCCTTTTAAGATCACCAAGTCTTCATTTATTTGATCAAAATACAGAAAAAAACGTATTGAATTTATTATTATTATTATTATAGACTGGAGTAATGGCTGCTGAAAATGTACCTTTTAAATTGTAAAAAAAAATTGTAACATTATTGTTTTCATAATGCTGTATTTTTGATCAAATAAATTACATTAAGCACAAGACAATCTGAATTATTCCAAACTTTTGACCGCCAATGTTTATAATTTTAGTTTACAACCTCCATTGGATCCATAAGACTCAAAATCATTAATCTGCTCTTGGCAATAAGAGGATTTAGATTGTTAATGCATATCTCTGTCCTATCACAGTGCCTGTTATGATGGATGAAGCTATGGAATACCTGGAGAAAAGACAGGTCCACTATTTAATTATTATTTAATGGTTAAATTCTGTTTTTCTGAGTAAAAGATTTGTGATTATGATTGTTTTATAACATATGTACAAAATATAAAGTATAATATCAATAAAAATATATATATATCAAATATAAATATCTGAGTTCACCTGTGAATGCAGAACTGAATTCTTTTGGATACTTCTTCAGACTGGTTGTTTAAGAGTCTGTTTGAGCGTTTCACCACTAGATGATAGTGCTGTAACTTCAGTGACTCTGTTTAACCTAATGTGTCCTCTTGTTGATTTTACAGAAGAATCCATCATTCACCTATGAAGTTATTGTGGTAGATGACGGCAGCAAAGACAAAACTACAGAGGTAATTTTACTTCTTATATAATATATTATAATCAATAATAATGAATAAAATTGTTAATGTGCATGTTTTCTTGTATCCTCAGGTTGCCATGAAATACACAAAGAAGTATGGAGCACAAAAAGTGAGAGTTTTGACGTTGGTGAAGAACCGTGGAAAAGGCGGTGCAGTGAGAATGGTAACAATACAAAAACAACCAGTTCTCCTTGTGCATTATCCACATTTCTGATGAAAGACATAACAAAGATGCTGTTTGCACTCAGCTGGGAATGTGAACAAACTCAATAATTAATCTGTTACATGGCTTAATGCCTGAAGCAGTTTAAGTATGTGCTCAATCTCAGCGAAAAGCCTTATTTTGCACCCACTTAGCTAATGAAATAGTTGAACGTTGTTTCTTATTGTGTTTATCTCTACTCAGGGAACTCTAAGCAGTCGCGGACGCTTCATTCTTATGGCTGATGCAGACGGAGCCACTAAATTTGCTGACATTGAAAAGGTTGAAGAAGGACTTGAGAGCATCAGTGAGAAGCCTGTGAGACTCCACTTTTTGTAAAAAAAAAAATAGACAGGCAGCGTATTGCCAATCTCTCATTGGTATGTGGATTAACTATCTCTTTGAAGCTTAGCCAGGAGATACGGTTATCAGATTACCAACAGACCTTTCCTTGACAAAGATCTCAGTGCATCTGAAAATATTTTTCTCATGTGTCCATGCAGGATAACATGGCGATCTCCTGTGGATCCAGAGCTCACCTGGAAAAAGAATCAGTGGCTCAGGTAACACTGTTTCTCAAAATACTGGAGCATGACAGAAAATTGCCAATACTTTTGCATTTGCATTCTTCTGTTTCTTCTCGTGACAGCGGTCTCTGTTCCGAACGTTCCTGATGTTTGGATTCCACTTCCTGGTGTGGTTCTTCTGTGTGAGAGGGATTAAAGACACACAATGTGGTTTTAAGCTCTTCACCCGTGAAGCTGCCTTGAAAACCTTCTCCAGCTTGCATGTGGAACGCTGGTAAGGAGGCTTAAAAGTTGAAGAGCATCTCTGCAAATTTTTCACATGCAGCATCAAATTCCAAAAAGCACTTTTTAGATTAAATCATCTTTTATTTAAAATGTAAATTTTAACATTTAATGGAAATAAATGTTTTTGTCCTTGCAGGGCATTTGATGTGGAACTACTCTTCATTGCTCAGTGTTTTGATATCCCTGTAGTAGAAGTGGCTGTTAACTGGACAGAGATTGAAGGTTTGTGCTGTCAGTTCTGAAATATAATTGCACTTAAAGCGCAGCAGGCAATTAACACTTTTTTTCTAGCAGTATGTGTCACAAAAAAATGAAGGTTATTTCCTCTATGAGGTAATGAAGGCTTGTTTTATTGCACATTTTAGGGTCAAAGTTGGTGCCGTTCTGGAGTTGGCTACAGATGGGCCGGGATCTAGTCTTTATCAGGCTGCGTTACCTCACTGGTGCCTGGAGGCTGGAGTCTGAGAGAAAAACTCAGTAGCTGTTGTTACTGCTAGTGTGCTGTTCCTGAGCGAACAGGGGCCAACAGTTGAGCGCACAGCCCATTGCCACCAATGAGTGCACTGTGAATGCAGTCAGTGAACAGCATTAGCATTTTATTATCACTGACCGTGCCATGACCACATAAGGGGAGATGGTCCTTGTATTTTTTTTTTTATGTAATATTGCTGTTTTCCATATTTTCTTTTACATACTGTATTAGGTTTTGGTTTGAAAAGGGACAGATGGTTCTTGGCCAAATAAAAAATATATAGAATCGGTGTTTCAGCATTTACAAGTAATTTGAAATGTTTACTTGGAAACAGATAAATTATACTTTTTTTAAGATTTTGTGTAATGCAGGGCATCAAAGAATAATTTCTGGTCCAGATTTGCAATTTTAAAAGAAATTAAAGTGGTGTGCACTTGAATATTTAAAATCAGTGCCACCCAAATCCATTTTAACTCACTCTTCCTACGCATATAGGGTTTTAAAAAAAACACAGTTGACCGACTGAAATGGTCCATGGTCTGGCATGTGCTGAAGGCTTTTTAATGTGGTTTACTCAATGGGCTGCTCTGCACCCTGGAGAGAGTATCCTGTTTGTCCTTCCTTTCTCTCCACCAGGAAGGCATTTGTTCTTATTCAGCCCCTGTATGTTGTCAGCCACTCTAAGAGGGTGTATTTCAATATTTTACATTGATCAGTTATTTTTAAGATAAGTGATTTAAGGAGCTATTGATGTATTGTATTTTCCCCGTCTGCTAAGCCCTAAGTATAGAGCCTCGTCAAGAACGAATATGATCCTGTGCACCTTGATTGAAGAGGATCATTTTATGGTGCCCTTTTATTGGAAGCGAACTCCCCCTGCCAACTCATTTGATCACAGAGAACACTAAATATGCGAGCTGTCATTATTGGGAGTATTGTTACGTTCCCCTGCAGTTGTTGTAAACTGTGAAAATGTCAAACTTCCAGACTCTCTGTCGCCATCCTGGTTTGCGTCATTAACTGGACAAGTCACTGTACGCACACAAGCGAAGTGTATCCATCCGCACCGAGGAGCGCACGAAAAGTAGGGCTATCGATAAACGCTTTGGCACTCCGCCAATCTGACAATGAATCAGTTTTCATTTTTACTATAAGATTTTATATTTGAACTTGAACAAGCTTCTACTTTTCAAGTGCTAAAATATATATCAGGTATGTGTTCACAAAGAATACAGCATGTTTTTTTTTTTTAATGAGCACCTGCATTTGTTTTTTTACTTGATCTAAATAATTAGACTTTAATTCCAGTGTCGCATGTTAGCGTTGAAATTAGCAGATTACGAGTTATACGGGATTGACCCCCTAATTAAGACTACTCAAAAGATGGCAAAACAAAAGGTTGGGCGATGTCTTAAACGTATATTTTTAAAAATATGCAAGTATATATAACATATGATTCAACAGAGCTCACAAACAACGTTTCCGTAGCCGCAAAAGTGAGATTATCCTACAAATTGGTGAGAATGCGCTCTTGATCAAAAGTTGCGTTCCCTTGGGGTAAATTAACCATAGCAACAGCGTTTTCTTTGGGATCGATATCTGCTCGTACATCGACAGAAGCAGTACTTCTGCCACTGTTTATTACTTTTGTTATATATTTACACATAACTAATATATAAAAACGTTATATATATTGATATTGCATTATTTTAAGTGTTTTTAATATTTACATTTAGTCATTTAGCAGACGCTTTTATCCAAAGCGACTTACAAATGAGGACAAAAGATAAAACAGATAAAAAAAAGAAGATAAAAACAAACTGACAGTCATCAGACTAGCCTACAATTTGTTGCACTACCTGAAACTCAACCGATTTTTTTTCTTTCAAATTTCTAAGAAATTCTTTTGGAACGTTTACCATTTGAAAGTCACATTCTAGAAATTTCCGCTAAAAAAAAGTCACGAAAACTTCAACAAATCACTTTCTCTTTACAACCTTGGCCAAAAAGGTGCATCGCCTCGTGTGAAAGGGAAAACAGCTGTCCGCACTTGTCATCTGACCCTGAAAACAAATTAAAAGTGAAACGCCGCTGCCCACAATGACCTGTTTTCTCTCAATAATAGGCCTGTGAGTGAGTCTCGGGCTGCTCTTTTTGAATGGGATGATCCCTGTGCGTGTCTGACGTCCTGGGAGAGTTCCAGGAGCTGCGGATGAATTCCGCACGAAGGCGCTGAGGCTCCAGTCAGACTGACGCCGCGGCGCTCGCTCCATCCAAACACACTCGCTGTACACCTCCAGTCGGCGAGAGATTCGGCGTTCCGCTCTTTCGCGGAATTACTCCACTACGCAGATTGTTATTCAACTCGTCACATTAAGGTAAGGAATAAAACACGTATTATTATAGATAAGTTTATTTCAGGATTTAAAAATTAAACGTTTTATGAATTATAAGAATAAGTCATGACAAGTGTCTGTTTTTTTTTATATATTTTTTTTACTTTTATTAACTTCCTCACGTTAAAACTTGTTGCTTCTTGCGTAAACCCGTATAACACGGTAGGCTGCGTAAACATAGATGTTGTTTGTTATGCCACTTGCTGTTTAAAGATGCTGCTCCACAGAGACGTCTCGTGACAGTTGTTACACCTCGAATAGTTTGATTAAAAAAGTGCTAAATGTAACATTACAGCATTCTTAAAGCAAAAAAACAAAGTGAAGTTGATGGAAAGGATGTGTATGCGCGTTTGCGGGGGAGTTAGGTGATTAAGCCTATCTCTGCACTCAGACTGCCAGACGCCAGTTTCATAAGGACACACTGCCTTTGAGAACAGAGCAGATGAATTCACCCAGCCTCAATTGATCTGCCTGCCTGTGCCTATTTGAAACCAAAGCATGATTTCATGCACCGCTGTTAGTCCTGTATGGTTTCATTTTTCTCCTATGGTTATTTGATTTAGTTAGGGGTGTGTTAACACCTCTAGTATTGCATGCACTAATATTTTCAGAAGCTATTATTTGACTAGTCTGGCCAAAGATGGGAGCAAGCATCTCTGGTTTCAAATGCTCAAACGGCATTGATTTTTAGCAGATCGTTGTCTGCATCAGAAAGCTTGGGCAGGAAAGGGAGAGGACGAATAGGTGAGGTCCAGTGAGAAACGCAGTAGGACCTGTTGACAGCAATAATAACTCCTCAGCAATATTTCAGTAAAAGTAAAAGATTCCAGTAAAAGATCTTGAGATCTGCATAGGAAAATGTTTTTACTCCAATAAATTACACCCAAATAGAATGATTCTGACGAAAAGAATATGTCCATGTCACACTTGACCCCAAAGTCATAAGGAAGGAAACAAACAAATTCAATTTTGCTTAATATTAATTTAGATTTTGGCATGGTTTGGCATAATTTTTTCATGACAATTAAGCACATTTTTGTTGCTAATTCACAATAACATAATGCAAATAGTATACATTTTTGTTTTACTAAATACACAAATTACTATAAGTATCTAATTTTCATTTGTGTAATGTAAAAAATGAATTATGTTTGTATTTTTTAACTTTCCATTTGTACTGATTTAAAGAATTTATATTTTTTAAAGATTCAATAATTTTAAACAATTAAATAATTTTTTTAACATTTTAAATAATTTGAAAACAATTAATTTAATTCAATTATCAGTACATTTTAATTTGATCAATTATTCAATTAATTTGATTCAATTTGAATAATTTTATTAATGCAAATCTGATATGCTGCTTTGTTTTTTTCCCACCAGATTAAACGGCTGACCGCCCGACGAAAAAATCACTGTCAGGGGGTTTATTCTATTCCCGCCTGTATCTTGGCTGCAAAGAAATAAACTGAAGCTCCTGGGTTGGAGTGATTTAAAACCGATTTGCCCCAAGCTTTGAGAAAAATCCATCGTATGATGCACTCCACTACATCCATCACGTCCCTCTTCTCCTTCACCAGTCCAGCTGTGAAAAGGCTGCTGGGCTGGAAACAAGGAGACGAGGAGGAAAAGTGGGCAGAAAAGGCTGTGGATTCCCTCGTAAAGAAGCTCAAGAAGAAAAAAGGGGCCATGGAAGAGCTGGAAAAGGCTCTGAGCTGTCCTGGCCAGCCCAGTAAATGCGTTACCATTCCTCGGTCCCTGGACGGAAGGCTCCAGGTGTCCCATCGTAAAGGTCTGCCACATGTTATCTACTGCAGAGTGTGGCGCTGGCCGGATCTTCAGTCCCACCACGAGCTCAAAGCGCTGGACTGCTGCGAGTTTCCTTTCGGCTCCAAGCAAAAGGATATCTGCATCAATCCATATCATTACCGCCGTGTGGAGACGCCAGGTCGAAATCAATACACAAACCACTTATCTTGTTTTTTTTCTTCTTCATATCGATTATCGCTTCATGCATCTGTAAGTAACTTTTCTTGCTTTTTTTCAAACAGTTCTGCCCCCAGTTCTTGTGCCACGTCACAGTGAGTTCAATCCCCAGCACAGCTTATTGGCAAAGTTCCGAAATGCTTCCCTACACAACGAGCCTCTCATGCCCCAGAATGCCACTTACCCAGACTCCTTCCCAGCGATGCCCTGTAGCTCATTCTCTTCATCCCCCTCCAGCTCTTTAAACCAGTCCCCGACTGCGCACAGCTACCCCAACTCCCCCAGCAGTGGGACCGACCCTGGGAGCCCCTACCAAATTACAGGTACAACAAAGGAACAATGATTTCTCAAGCATTTTATTTGATGACAATCGTCTTGGTCATTCAAAAACGTGTTCTCCTTCCACAGCAGAGACGCCTCCACCACCCTACAGTATGATGGAGACCTCTCCATCTGAGGGTGTGAAACCAGGGTTAGAGTCCTCCAATGCCAATAAACTCATTCTGTCAGCCCCACACAGAGGTGAGACACTAGACTAAATATACATACTGTGCATTGTGTACATTGAAATGTTAAAAAGTTGTGAACACACCTACTCATTTACAGTGTTGTTGTTATTAACTAAAACCGTTAAAAATAGTTTTTGTTCATTGAAAGAAAGCGGAAATAAAATAAAAAGTGAATAATTAGATGAAAATAAACTTCAAATTAAAAATTGAAAACAAAAATTTGAAATATTCACTTGACTAACAACTAACTGAAATGAAAAACAATACTCCGAATTATTAAAACTGAAATAAAATTTAAACTAATAGAAATATTTGAAGAATAATGACTAAAATGAAAATGAAAAACTGAAAATATAAAAATAAAAGCTAATTCAAAATATTAATAAATACTAAAATAGTATATAAGTAATACTAAAATAATTCATTTTAGAATAAAACTCATCAAAACTATGAAATAACACTAATGGAAATGAAATATGTAGTGACAAAAATGTTAAGTCATTTTATAAAACATTGAAACTGAGCGAATCAGAATCCACCAAGCTTTAAACAGCCTGAGTATTTAACTCTGCGAATGACAAAACTGCAGCAAGCACTTATAATAAACAGAATGTTATTATTATGCATTGGCGCAGATGCTAATATAGTTACTAGTAATATAGTTCTCTTTATAGTTATTGTTCTTGGTGTTAACGGGCCTTAACCTATCCATTTAAAACAAATTAAAGCAATTTGAATTTATTAAAGAAATCTCCATTTATATTTGCATCATATCTCTAAACTTCTAATTTCAATCTTTTAAGCATGAACCAGATGAAAAGTTATTTTTTTAAACCATGAGAAAATTTAATCCAATCTGGTGTGCCCAAACAATGAAAGTGTAATCATGATAACATTATTTCTAATTAAAATGCATCATGAAAATGGAATGAATCTGAATACTATGAGGTATTATACATTTTTTTTTCCAGACTTGAGGCCAGTGTGTTATGAGGAACCAGAATACTGGTGTTCAGTGGCGTATTATGAACTAAACAACAGGGTGGGCGAGACATTCCATGCCTCTTCCAGAAGCATCCTCGTGGACGGCTTCACAGACCCCTCCAACAACAAGAACCGCTTCTGCCTCGGATTACTATCCAACGTCAACCGAAACTCCACCATTGAACACACTCGCAGACACATAGGCAAAGGTTTGTTGAAAGTTTTACATTTGTTTTTTTTATTTTTTTCTTTGATGAGGTTTATGGGATCAAAAATAGACCGAAAACAAAGTTGTTCTGAGAAGATCAAGCTGCTGATAATCTTCCATCAGTGGATTAAATTCCAAGAGAAGGTAATTAAAACAACTGAAATCACCACTTGCTAGACACTGTTTAGTGCTGGCCAGTCAACACTGCACTTCAGAAAGCCAGTGAGACAGATAGAGTCCACATTATCCAAATGTTGGCTTTTCTCAGGGCACTAGATGAGCGTCACTGTGCCAGTGTTGGAAAGACATTAAGTGTTGCCATAGGTTACAGCAGTGACAGGGAAGAGTATGCACACATACACATGCTGGGCACAGATGGACGGAGGCCAAGTTTGAGTTCCATCTACTTGTGTCAGAGAGATCCTGGTGGGAAGAGTGCCAAGGACAACGACACAAACCAGATCAGGATGCTTCAGGAGAATGGAGATTATTAAGGTTTCCGCTTGGCACGTGATAAAACGTGATGAATGCTGGGCTTGGGGATAGTGATTTCTGGGATTTACAAAGTTCAAAGGTGGATATACTGTTTTATGTGTCAACTTTGTGCTTTGTAGAAATTGTTAGATGTTACTTTTATTCTTTTTGTTGACCTGTAAAGCAGTGTTATTTTAGCATTATTTATATACTGTTATACTTCTTTATAAATATTTAAAATTAGCTTTTATTTTTTCAGTTTATATTTTAATTTTACTTTAATTTGTAATCATTTAATGTGCATTTGTTTTTGTGCTTCTTTTTTAATATTACTATTTAAGTTTAAAGTATTTGTATTTTCTTATGAGTTTAATTTATTTTTAGTTCCGTCTGAAATTTGAATTTATTTCCACTTAGTAAATTTAGTGCTTAAGCTTAATTGTATTTCAGTTAGTTGCCAAGACAATATTTCTAATTTTTCTTTTTTTTTTTCAACTTTATTTAAATTAACAAAAATGTTTTTAATAGTTTTGTGTCTTAAATGCTATTGGTATCTCTCTATATTGAAAATCCTAAATCTGACTTTCTTGTTTTTGGCATTATTATGGAAACAAAATATATAAGAATAAGCAAAATGCACTGTTGCATAATTTATAAACTCATAAAAGTTACTGGTTACATACTAGAATGGAATGAGACTGAACACAAGTTTACAAAAATAATGACTTGTAACAATTTTTTTTTAAATAACTTATTGAATATTGGTTAAGTGATGCCAGTGGATCTAGAAAGCTCTTTTAGAAAAAGAACATTTGGAACAATTTTATCAGTTTTTGGAATACAATTAATAAGTGAGTTAAAAGTACATTTTGATTTCATTTTCATGACTTTAAATGATAAATGTGCAATTATTAACTCATTTTTAAAGTCTTCCTCTTTTGTTTTAGGTGTGCACTTGTATTACATCGGAGGAGAGGTGTACGCAGAGTGTCTGAGTGACAGCAGTATTTTCGTACAGAGTCGGAACTGTAACCACCAGCACGGTTTCCATCCCACCACCGTCTGCAAGATCCCGAGTGGATGCAGCCTGAAGATCTTCAACAACCAGCTGTTTGCTCAGCTGCTGTCACAGTCTGTCAATCACGGCTTCGAGGTGGTGTATGAACTTACCAAGATGTGCACCATCAGGATGAGCTTTGTCAAGGTAAAGAGGTTTATATAGAATATATAGAAGAGTGACTAATAAAGGTCATGTTAACACCCTGGCAGCCACCTAGAACAGCATAGCAACACCCTGCCTACCACCAGCAGAAGAGCCAACTCATTAGTCACTAGTCAAATCTGCACTGGGAATAAAATTACACTGGTTCTAAAGTATGCTTCTGATTCACTTGAAAGAACTGAATCATTAGAGTCTTTCCTTTGGGAATCAGTCTACACTGGTTGTCCTAGATGCATTTGATTCACCTAGAAGAACCGGCTCATAAGAGTCATTTGTTCGGAAATCAGACTACACTGGTTGCACTGTATGCTTTTGATTCGCTATCGCAAATTCAGAAAGGTCATCAACGTCATTCACAAGCTAACAGCTCTTGAGGTGCTTAGCACTTCCAAACCGAAAATCTATGTGTTGCTATGCAAACTTAATATGTAGTTATTCTAATCTCTGGCTTGCTGTTTTATGGATGTTGCTCTGCCAAAACACACTGCAGATCCCATAGCTCTAGAGACTGATATGACACATACAATTTTCCCTGCTTGATTTATATGCATCCAGACAAAAAAACAATAAATTGATTGTGTTAATTTCTAAGCTAAAATATGAATTAAACGCAAGGTTTGGGGAAACAAGTTTGCAATTCTTTTTGTAATTCCTTTAGGTGCTGCTGGTCAGTTGGAAATTAAATATTTTTGTTGATTTGCTTTTAAAACCTGCTTGCTGCTTTAGACGTTGTATAAACACACCCAAGTATTGAGAATGAAATATGTCCTCTTCCCAGGGCTGGGGAGCCGAGTACCACCGTCAGGATGTCACCAGCACCCCCTGCTGGATAGAAATCCACCTGAATGGGCCGCTGCAGTGGCTAGACAAAGTTCTGACCCAGATGGGCTCCCCACACAATCCTATTTCCTCTGTGTCCTAATGCATTACAGAACAAGGGGAATATAGTTCTCCAATAGACTTTTATAGCGCCCCAAGACCCATAATGCTCTTTCTCTTGTGAAAATATGTCTTTTCAGTGGATGTTTATTGTACTGCATATATGTACAATATCATGCTGTTAAGTAAGCAGTAGTTAGATAAGTGTTGCAATGATTTTAATAAAGAAAAAACACTACTACTTCACAGTATGTAGTAGCTGAGATCAATTCAGACAGAAACTCTCCAATAGGAAGCCAAAGAAATTTGTTAGGCAGGTACTTGTTCTGGAAATGGTTTATTTGTGTCATATTTTGGCTAATATGTGTCTTCTATAACATTTCATGTTGTTTTGCATTTGCGTTAGCGTTCTTGTTCTTGTAATACAAAAAACTCCCTTCTATTTCTGCCTGTTTATTTTCTGACTTGAAAAATCCTTAAGTATTAATGCTTTTAAAGCTGAAAACTGCACAAGATCAATAACACTTAATTGGAATGCCCTCAGCAACTTACTGAGTTTACACCATGTTTAAAATAATAATAAAGCTGATGAACAATTATGTTTGTGCAATGTTACTTTCAGCTACACGGTCAAGATGTGGCAAAAAAGGTGAAACTAAACTGTAGCTTTCACTGGTGACATTATTACAGATAGGATTGATCACTAAAAAAAATCTTTTGATAACAGCTGCCATTTCATATTTTCTATCAATAATTTAAAAATCCTAAAAGACACTACATGTGGCCGAACAGGGTGCTTATTCAAATGGATTGTTGATATATAGTAGATTTAGCTGCTAATTCATTTCATGATCTCAAAGAGATTGATGATGACAGAAGTACTTCAGATCGATCAGATCCTTGTCAAATATCCAAGTTTTCAGAATGCAGTGTTGATAGTCCCCTCACCATCAAGGATGGCTGTAGGTCACAGATGCTAATGGTTCTCACATGAGTATAGAATACTGCCGTTGTAAAAATGTCATTGAAAATGTGTCTGCATTAAATCGTCAACAGGATGAGTAAAATATCTTCAGTCTTCAGTAGTTGTGCTGTGTTTGAGCTCGATTCTGTGTGGTCAGTAAAAGCTGCTGCTGCTGAAGGAAACTGATGACTTCTGGACTCCTCAGCAGAGACTGAAACCCAAAAACAACACAACATGAGCTGATGGTAAGTCACCTTGCTATGAAATAATACTGGGCTAATATGAATATTAATGGCATTTATATTACAAATAAAAGACATGACATTTTGAAATTATATAAAATTCACTAACCCAATGAAACAAAGTACAGCTGACAAACAATCAGTCAATCAATACACACACACACACACACACACACACACACACATATATATACATACATACATATTTATGCATATGTGGGATCCTGGGGATGCATATTTAAAATCTGAAAAACGAATTAACTTTCAAAAAAAAGTATTTATTTATATAGATTTATTTTGCATTGTATATAATATAACTTCAACATTTTTGTGTTTTTTTTGTCCCTAATGCTTTGTATGACAGATTGATTTATAAAAAGAAAAAGAAACTTAATTCAAATTCCATCTTCACATGACTACATGAATTATGAATGAACTACTCTAATAACCACACACCTCTGCATATTATCATTAACTAAAACTAATGCTATTAAAAATGTTCGTTAATTGAAATAAAACTGAAATAAAGGAACACAGATATTAGATGAAAAACTTACAACAATGTAAGTATTTTTGTCAGTAATGAGTAAATGTGGCCTTGGTAATTAAATTAAGTAGGTTTAAGTTTAAGTACTAAAATTACTAACTGGAAACAAATAAAAGGTACAACTTTAAAATAAGATTTCATTTGCTAACATTAACTATATTAGTTAACATGAATAATATTTCTATAGCATTTATTAATCTTCTTAGTTAATATTGAGTTCAAAACTTACTAATATTATTAACATTTAAAATTTGTATCTGTTAACATTAGTTAATATACTGTGAACTAACATGAACATCTATATAAAAACTAACATTAACAAAGATTAATAAATGCTTAATTAATAAACAGTTAATAAATTTACTTCGCAAATGAGACCTTATTTAAAAGTGTTACCAAATAAAATTTAAATTTAAACATTAATTAAAATTAAACATAATAAAATATATATAAGAAATGACAAAAACGCATAATTAAAATTTAATCTAAAACTACAAAAATATAAAAACAATTCAGAATAGTAATAAAAACTATTATAGTAAACTGTAATAATGGTATATAGATAACACTAAAATAACACTTCCCTGCACCCATGGCATTCAGTCAATAGGGAGTATATGACTAAAACTAATGATTACTATATTACAAAAAAGTGTTTAATGCTCTTACCAGTCTCTTCTGGTTCAGCACCTGCTCAATGAGGGACGGTCTGGCGGGTCTGTCTCCCATAGTACCCAGCCGTTGCTTAGTAACAGATACAGGCCTCTCCTCCGAACTCTCCTTCACATCACGAACAAATAAAATTATTTGAAATAAGCCTAGAAAGTTGGGATAAAAGATAATTTAATGCATCAACTGAAGCTGTCATTTATCCCAAATGAGCATTTCTTACGTCTAGTTTTCCCGACGACATGGCCTGGTCGCTTTTCTTTTTCTTGTACTTGTCCTTGTACATTTTATTTCGGTGTTTTTTGCACATCCAGGGCTTCCTGGCTTTGGCCACCTGCGTCGTGGTCTCGGTGCAGCCGTCATAGATGCAGGTCTTGGGCACGTTCTCGCTCTCTCCGGACGTCTCGTCGTCGTTGAGCTCCTCCGGACTGACCGCGCCGTCTCTCGCCTCCGGCGCGTCGCTCTCTTCGCCCGGATCTTCCGCGTCGTACGGGAAGCTCTCCTGGTCCTGGTCGTTGCTGTCCGCGGCTGCCGAGGTTTGGCCGTCTTTACCCGTGTTTGCTAAACTAAGATGAACGTTGTCGCTCATTTTGTCTGCCTGTCATCCGACCTTCATGAACGTACTGACCAGACTTGCCTTTTTTGTGAACTCGGCACAGAATAAATCAGTGTTAAGCTGATTTTATATGACTGTCATTAAAAACTGCCTGTCATCCGACCTTCATGAACGTACTGACCAGACTTGCCTTTTTTTGTGAACTCGGCACAGAATAAATTAGTGTTAAGCTGATTTTATATGACTGTCATTAAAACTGCCCCATTTTTTAATAGAAGTAACCCAATAAATATATAAAAACGGAAAAATATGAGGAGTGAATATGTGAAGGACTCCTGTCACGACAAAAACAAAACAGCGGTGGCCGCTGCAGAAAGACAGACTCGCCTGTGTGATCAAATGGACGTTGCGCCCTCTAGCGGCACCACGCAGCGGTGCAGATACTTCAATACACTGGACTAAAACTACATTTGCACGGCGACTCTGAAATATATGAATTAGAATACTAAACATCAGATTAAATGACAAATGAGAGCACAAAAAACTCTCAACACCTTCCACTCCGTTTATGGCGCAGTGTACAGAGTATTGACAACGTACCTCTCATGCTGACCCACAAACAAACGAAAAGACCAGAATACAGCGTAGCTAAATCCTCGAAATCAGATCGATCATATATCAAGTCAAGTTACTGTTACATCCAGCATACGTGCCTAAGAACCAATGATCCATCTCCCCCAGCACATAACTGCTGAGATCACGAAACCTTTCAGCTCTAGTTTCGTCCCAACAGCTGTTAGGCAGCTCAATTAACTACTTTATGGCCCCCTGACTTCATTATTTATAAATTATCTGTGTTGGATCTCAGATTGCTTGCATTGTTTATTGCAGACTGTATTGCGCATATTGTATTCTATCATCCATTTGAGAATAGTATCTATCAAATAAGTAGGCTAGATAAGACAAATATCTAAATATATCAAATAGTTCAATTGTGTTATGGAAGCCCGCAAGGACAAAATGCTTTGGCAAATCATAATCTGACAGAAAATGTCATAATTATGTGATAAAAGTCAAAATTATGACAAACTGAATTGAAATTATGAGATAAAATAACATGGTCAAATTTTTGTCATCATGTTTTTTTATTTCAACTTTTCCCCCCAAAATGACATAGTATGTCATAATTTTGACTTTTTATCTATATATGTTTTTTTACTTTTGTCATAATTTCATCTTTTTATGTCATGACATTTCAGCTTTTTATCTTGTAATTATTTCACAGTATCTCATAATTTTATGATTCTTATCTCATTATCTCATACTTGTGACTTTTATATCATAATTATGAT